AGTCAAATGCCTTTGCATAGTCAATGAAACACAGATAGAAAGATGGAATATTCATAAGAATATTGTTCAGTAATTTCCACATTCTGTTGGATCATCATTTTTATCACATGCAGGCAAAGTATTGCTTATGATCATCCAAAAATTACTAGTACATTGAAAGAGAATTGCCAGAAGATCAAGCTGGATTTAAAAGAAGTTGTGGCACCAGGAATATCACTGATGATGTCAGATGAATTCTGGCACAAAGCAAAGAATACCAGAAGAATGTCTATCTATGTCTTATTGACTATGCCAAGGCATTTGACTGTGTGCACCATAACCAACTATGGCTAACATTGAGATGAATGGCAATTTCAGAACACTTTATTATGCTCATACAAAATCTATACCTAGACCAAGAAGCTTTGTTCAGAGTAACAGAATATTCCATGCTTTAAAATTAAGAAAGGTATACATAAGCTCAAACATTCCTCTACATGGTATCTAGCACCAGTCTGTCAATTTGCTGTACATGGGTAACTCATGATTACTGTGATGCTAAACAATGTAACACTGATATGTCAAATGTGATAATGGTTACCCATGGTGGATAATGTTTGGTGGAGCTCCCAGATTAAAACAGGCTTAGAAGCAAGAATGGTATCCACTTCCGAAATAGCTTGCTCCCAGAAACTACATGAACTTAGAGCAACAATGAAAGTTATACAAGTGTTCAGGTCTTTACAGGGTAGCTATGAGTCATCTATAACTTGACAGCACTTAACAACAACATATGTAAAGACTGTATGCTTTCTCCATACTTACTCAATCCAATGCTGAGCAAATCATTTGAGAAGCTCGATTTTGTGAAAAACAATGTAGCATCAGGACTGGAGGAACAACAACCTGCATTATGTAGATGACACTACTTTAGCTGCTGAAGAGGAGGAGGACTTGAAGTGCTCGCAGCAGCAGATCAAAGAACATGGCCTTCAATAAGGATTATATTTCAACGCAAAGAAAACAAAAGTCATTACCACTGAACTAAAAAAGCAACATAATGATAGATGGAGAAGATTGAAACTGTCAAGGATTTCATTTTACTTAAATCCATAATCAACACTCAGTACCAACAATCGGGAAATCGAGATGTATTGTAATGTGAATGTCTGTAATCAGGGACTTCTCCAAATTACTGAGAAACAATGATACCAGTTTGAAGACTAAAGTGTGCTAATGAAAGCAATGGTCTTTTCATTCACTTGTCATGCATCTGAGAGATGGACAATGAAAAAGGATGACAGAAAAATAATGCCTTTGAACTGTGGTACTGGAGTACTGAATATCTTATGGACTGCCAAAAGAGCAAATAGTCTTGGAAATGTCTTAGAAAATGTCCAGCCTGAATACTTCTTAGAGGTAAAGATGACAATATTCCTTACATAATTAGGGCATTATTATCATTTTTGTTGTTATGTACTGTCGAGTCATCTGCAACTCGTAGCGACCCGATGTACAACAGCCCTAAACTCTGCCCTATCCTGCGCCAATCTCACCATCTCCAACACAACCCATCCCCACTACCCCAGTCACTGAATCAATCCATCTCATCGACCGTCTTCCTTCCTGCGCCATCCCTCTACCCTCCCAAGAATGACGTCCCTCTCCAAGGACTGATCCCTCCTTGCAACATGTCCAAAGTATGTCAGATGAAGCTTCAGAATCCTTGCCTCCAAGTAGCAACCCGCCTTCACCCTCTCCAGGACAAACCTATTCATTTTCTTAGCAGTCCATTGTATATTCAATACTCTTCTCCACTACCACGGCTCAAAGGCATCAATTCTCCTATCATCCCCAGTCATTATCCAGCTCTCTGATGCATAGCAAGTGATTGCAAAGACCATGGCTTGTATCAGGCGCACCTTAAGTCTCCAGACTGACACTGTTGCACTTCAGTACTTTAGAGAGGTCTCTAACGGCAGACTTTCCCATCACAATATGTCTTTTAATTTCCTGGCTGCTAGTGCCAAGAGTGTTGACTGTGGAGCCAAGCAAACCAAAACCATAAACAATCTCAATCTCTTCAACATTCATTATGATGCTGTCAATTGGTCCAGTGGTGAGAATCTTTGTTTGCTTGATATTGAGCCTCAAACCATACTGAAGACTGCAGTCCCTGACCTTCCACAGCAAGCGCTTCAGGTCCTCCTCAGTTTCAGCATCTGTATAATGCAGATTGTTGATTTTTTTCTCCAATCCTGATGACAGAGCTCTCCTCATAGAGCCCAGCCTCCCAGATAATCTGTTCTGCATAAAGACTGAAAAGGTACGGAGACCGGATGCAGCTCTGGCATACACCCTTTCCAATTCTGAACCATGCACTGTTTCTCTGCTCTGTTCTGACGACTCCCTCCTGGCCCAAGTATAGGTTTCGCATTAGCACAATCAAGTATTCTGGGATTCCCATTCTTCTCAGAGTTAGCCACAGTTTGTTATGATCCATACAGTAAAATGTCTTTGTGTAATCAATGAAACAAAGACAGATATTCTTCTGGTACTCCCTGCTTTCAGCCAAGATCCATCTAACATTAGCTACAACAGGCCTAGTACCACGACCCCTTCTAAACCCAGCCTGCACTTCTGGTAGTTCTCTGTTGATGTGCTATTCCAGTTGTTTTTGGATAATCTTGAATCTTGCTCACATGTGGTATCAATGATACTG